GCCAATTTTGAGAGTTTAGTGATTCACAACGCCAAGGGGAGCGGGCGAAAATTATACCACCGTCAACTTAACGGCTAAGTTTGTTTCTATGCCACTGCATCGTGCCAATGTATATTGTGGAATTCAATGCCTGCCCAACTGATGTGGCAACACTAATATCCCAGTAACTTGGGGTTGCACGATTTTAGCCAGGTACGTTGAACAATTATCAGTCTTACAACACCACCTGGTCTCCGGGTTCCTGTTTTCCTACCTGTCAATGTCGTTCGGGGCACCCTTCGTACGCGCTTACAACCACGTCAACTAGGCCGACTGCCGTTAGATTGTTATGTAATGCAGCTATATGGGTCTACCGGCTCTGAAAAATTATTGGAATACGAATGACAAACCATCTGTTACTGCAGTTTGAACTGGGACCAAACCGACGCTGTAGCGTGATTGACACTTTTACGCTTGCCTGCACAATGTCCGTCCGTTCACAATAGCAAGGTTTCGTTGATAACCAGGATGTGCAGTGTGCCTTTCTGCTGCAAACATTCACTCGTAAACAAGGATCGCCTCTACAGTTTGTTAGGTAGTCGAAGATCAGCGTGGCTTAAAACAATTTGCGCACTGTGGTAGAACGCTGCGCCATAGAATGAAGAAACACCACATTAACCGAGATCAAACTGAATCCGTCTTTGATCCCCTTCAGTTGTAGAACGTGAGCACCGCTCGCTGCAGCCAAGATCCTGATACAATGGTTTGCCTCTTTACTCGCTTACCTTTAGGTAACAACGTCTGAGTAAGCGGACGTTGCGTTAGAGGCAGTGCAAATACCAAGGAACAAATGAGCTGCAAACACCTGTGACACGAAAATAAGTTTGTGTACAACCTGTGCCTGAAGCCGATAAGTGTTGAAGGCAAGGAGTGGTTCCAGTGTGTACAGAGAATAGGATCTTTAAGGTCAAAGAACGAATAGGGAATAAGCGAGATGTATCTCAATGAAAGAATGATCCACGATGAAATCTAGAGCAACACAAAGGAAAGGCGTATAACACCAAAGAACATGAATAACATGAACATTAGTAAACTTTATTTTAGGTCTAACAACAATAGTAGAGCAGAAAATAATAAGGAGAGTATACGTCGACAGCCGCCTAACCCAGTGAATGAGTCATAAAGAGTGTTACTCCCTAGTTTGCCAACAAACATTCATGCAGCTAGCGGAGCTTACGAACCCGAATGTTGTAGCATCAACCTACAACTTATTGCAAAGAGACTGGTGCATTTGACAAGATCCGTTGTGACCTACTTATGCAGAAGTTCCGTTAGCTTCTCCCGTAGCTTGTGCACATCCACTTCCCGCCACAATGTGTAGGCAAAGGCCTCTGTGGATCGATTTACCTCACTGTATAGTCCGTATAAGTGCTGTAGCAAATCCAGCTGCTGTCCGATGTTCCGTAGCCCATCGTCTGCGATAGGACTTAGGCCAAATAGACGTTCTGCGCGTGCGCAACTCTCCACTTTTCGCATAATTTGTTCATGTGTGCTTCGGAATAGCAGTTGTCTATCGAATGCTTCGTAATGTGTTAATCCGGGAGTCATAGGTCCACGCTGAGGGTGTGGATATGAAAGAAGTAATCGCATAGTTATGAGATGAGTGCAATATCAGCCCTATTAAAAGTCATCAGAATTAACTGGAGCGTAAGTAACTTGTATATTGAAATAGGAACTAAACGGTTCTCCCTGAAGGGTTACGCGTTGTCCGTGTGATCCATAATAATTGATTACCGAACTAGAGTTTGGAAAACTTCGCGGATTACCTCCACTTGCATTACTGCAAAGAGCAATCAGGAAAGCTTGGGTAGAGAGACTGATGAATAAACTATGGAGTAAGTTTCAGGCTGCAAAATGGCCTTCATAACAGTTAAACTCAGTCAAAAAGCCAGAACATTAGTTCAGTGGTATTGGTACTGTCGACTTTTCCAACGACTGGTTTTACATCTCTTCAATAAGGCTATTTATCCCTGTCTGTGGTACATGTGTTAAAGCGGAATATTCACTTTTCATGGGTGCAGCAGACACCCTATTGACTTGATTTAACTGAAAATCCTTAGATGGTAGGTTTGTCCTACCGTGATGTATAGGATGTGTTTGAGATTAGTTGTGGGGACCAACCCTGTCTCATGGAATGCAGTGAAGGATGAGCCGCGGTGGATCGCAATCTGCAACGTAATCATGAGGGTCCATCCGTACACTTCAGCTCAGGGGTTTAAGCTGCTACTTCGTATGTAAATGGCTGCACTTATGACTCGAGAGAGCTGCGCCTTGTTGGTGCGCTCCAGTAGAGCAAAACAAGTAATCAACTCTTGCGAATGTGAGATGGCCGTTGTGATGAATCACTACAGTATTATTTCGAATACTCTACTTCTCCCAAGTACAATCAGAAACTTTACTCTTAGGTCCGCTGCAACCAGTCCAGTGTACAATCTTGTACCTTGTCATACTCCGTCATGAAACTTTGAACACGTTGGCGGAGTTTCATGCCCGATTCAACCAGGTCTTGTTGGAGGGATTGTTGCATTTCACCGATGCGATCAACGGCCTCTGCCATCTTGTCCACAAGGCGTGTGAAAGCCCAGCGAGTGGAATCAATGCGCTCGGTGAGCTCTTGTGGGAGTTCCATGCCATATCGATTCAACATTGCCTGGGTCTCCTGTGGTAGAAACAAATTAGATGGATAGGATATCCAAATGAGCGTACATCGGTGGTTCAGTCGCAGTTTGTGTCGGCGATGCAAACGAACTATTGTTAGTGAACAGTGGAAAGGTAGTTGACCAAAAGAGCGTCCGATGGCGAAAGGAAATTGCATAAAGAAAGAGTTGGCCACACGATGAGTGCTACATTACCGTTCACTTCCGCAGCTGTACTAAAGAGGGTGAAGTCTCTGCGCGAGTTCACCTCCCCAGGTGCGGACGGCATTCGTCCGAAGGCGTTGAGAGTTGCTGCCATGAATTTAGCAGGACCGCTAGCAATTTTCTTTCAACGATATATGAATGAAATGAACGTCCCCACGATGTGGAAGGACGAAATCATCACGCTTATCTACAAAAGTCACAGTCGTGCTGAACCAACAAATTATCGCCCGATAGCACTACTGCCTGTGATCTCCAAGGTGATGGAGTCCATTGTAGCTGAGGCTTTGTTGGGGTACCTGGAGAACAACAGAATTCTCGTTCCGGAACAGCATGGATTTCGCAGAAATCGCTCCTGTACAACTAATCTGTTGATTGCTCATGCAAGCTGGACGGAATCTGTGAACGATGGTGTAGGAGTCGACGTGGCCTACTTGGATTTCTCAAAGGCATTCGACCGCCTAGACCATCACATTCTCCTCCACAAACTCCAGAAATATGGAATCGGCTATCCTGTTCTGGGTTGGATAGGAGACTTTCTCCTGCAACGTCACCTGAATGTGAAGGTTAGAAGCAACCTGTCGGAATCCATCGAAGTTCAGTGCGGCGTACCTCAAGGCTCGGTCATTGGACCCCGCCTGTTCCTGCTTTTCATAAGTGATCTCGCGAGTGTGCTATCTTCTAACTGTTTGCTATTTTCTGATGACCTAAAGGTATGGCGCACTATAGCTGCAGTGGAGGATCACACAGTGTTACAGGAGGACCTGGACAAAGCGTACACATGGTCCATCGAGAACATGGTGCACTTCAACGTCACCAAGTGCAAAGTTCTCAGTATACGGCACAAGAGTATGCACAAGTACCGCCTAGGACCACAAATTCTACAGCGGGATTCTCACGAGTGCGATCTCGACGTGATAGTTCAAGATGACCTCGGTTGTTTGAGGCAGACTGAAAAGCCATCTAAGAAAGCAAACCAGTACCTCGGCCTTCTTCGCAGAGCTTTCGGGAAGTTTGACCCTTCGATCTTTCCAAAAATGCTTAGTGCGTACGTGAGACCGCACGCGGAATACGCTGTTCAAGCTTGGCAACCCTGGCTCAAGCACCATCTCACCGCGCTCGATACAGCACAACATATGATAACGAAGAGGGTCAGAGGTTTGACCAGCCTCCCCTACCCACGCAGGTTGAAGACCCTCAAAATATACAGTGGGCGTTATCGGCTTCTAAGGGGCGATCTCATAATGGTGTACCAGATCCTGAGAAACCCCAACCACCCATGCCATTCACTTCTAATACTCAGTCAAAACACCTCGCTAAGAGGTCACCAGTTTAAGTTAGTCACGCAGTACAGCCGCCTGGAATGTCGGAGAATCTATTTCTCCCTTCGAGTGTCACAGCCTTGGAAAGCCCTCCCGGAACATGTAATTAATGCTCCAACCCTATCCCTTTACAAAAATGCCTTGACGATACTCTGTCACATTTACACTACCTACTATAGCTCATGACCACCAGATGCTGGCATTAATGCACAACAGACAGTGGATAGTGCCATAACCCTACTAGAGAATGAGTCATTCCAAACCCCTTGCACGATATTTGATAAACGCTACTACTATAGAAACTGGATTTCTGTATCCCGTTGACCAAAGATAGTTGCACACCAGTAAGTGTTGTGCTTGCTATCTTTTTATTTTTTCTCACCTATTATGTAATCAATGACCACACCCCTTGTTGCTTTGTGTGCCTACATTCTCATTTCAAACTCCCTTTATACGACAGTGCAGTTAAATCTCTAATCGCCTGAACTGACGACTCCATTATCCCTTCGTTATCATTTTTTTTCACGCTAAACACCCTACGGGACATGTCAAGCACCTGTTTTTTTACCTGTTATAAATCATTTTTTATTGTTCATTGTCCATAATGCCCTCCCAACAAGTCGTCAACTGTTGTTGCATATATTGCTCGCGACTCACAGGTTTCGGAGTAAAACTTTCGGTTTGTTGTCCCCACATCCTTATTCGAGTCACACTCCTGCGTCCTATGGGGTTCTCTGCCGTCTATAGTAGTGCATGAAGTGAAACTTGAACGTCGGAGTGCCGGGGCCTTGGCTTGCTTATCAGCACACGAAACTGGACGTTCATTAGGAGAAGGCCTGTTTCGTCACTGAAGACCTGACCTTCCTCCACCTGATGAGTGCCAACGAGTATGAATTCGATCGTCAAGCCCAAATTTGCGAGCAAGCAACACATTAGTTACGTCTGTTTTCGATACAAGCCCGGTAGCTATACCGGTCGAGATTCAGTCTCAAGTGAATCCAGCTACAAGTTGAGAAAGTGCGCCGTAATTTATTCGCACACTGAGTGCTTCAACGTCACGCCGCATTATCAGGAGCGTAAGTTCTCCTAGGTCGACCGATATGTACATGACAACCGAAGTAGTGAAGCGGCTCAAGACCGACAAACATTCCACTGCGGCACCAGGAGATTGATCGACAGAATTATCACGTAATTCGCCACCTCAAAAGATACGATCCCCTTTAGCTGCTGTCAGCGGTCTTACTGGCGATGAATCTGCAATCTTTCCGGTGAAGTGACGGCACGCACACAGAGTTGATAAATAGCCTTAGAGGGTTGGCCATTTGAAAGGACAGGTAACTTAAACATTAAACACAAACCGAGGCTCAGTTAAGTTCAGTTAACTCGGAAACGAACCGGTCAGCCGAAGCTGATGAAAGGAAGCGAACACTCAATCTTAGTGACCATGCCCTTAGAAAAAGTCGGTCACCTCTAGTTTCTTGCATGTGCAAGTGAGGCGTTGGTAAACAAGTATCCAAGACATACAGGGTTGTTCCTAAGGATCGTTAGAGGAGCGATCATAGATCAGGTAGATTTAGGTGAACGCCTATAAATTAAGACTCGTTTTGTTTGGCTCACCCACAGATGCTTGTTTTAAGGTGTCATTTTGTTAGCCTCATTGGCTGTTTATGGTCGTTGCTTTTGAGTGCTGATCATAGTTCTACTACGAGGCTTTCCTTTATTTATGTGCATTTAATTAGTGCGTTATTTGTTCGGTGCCCATTGGCATTGTCTGGCCACACGCTTTCAGTGCTTTCGTTGCTTTCCACAGTTACGCGTGATGCTACATAATAGTGCCGTCTCGGAACAGGAAAATTAGAAGACGTAGATTGTGTGCTGACGCCGTCAGTGCTAGCACATTTTCCAGTCACAAAACATGCAAAAATGGTACATAACTGGATAACCACAATATGAAAGCGGTCCTAGTGCCAAGCACTTGCACTACCAGGGTAGGCCTAAAGCCACAACTAGCCTTTTTTGAGTGCACAGAGGCGGCCGTTCGCAGTCGATGACGATAGTTCCTAGTATTATGTTGGGCCGCCAATTACGCAACGGGGCTGTGAACGACTCATCAGGATCGACTCGGTGCCCAGTGGTAAACAAATGTTTTGTGGCTGCCGAAGCAGCTCAGTTTCGCGACGTAACTGATTCCGTCGTCACAGACCCCATCCAGCCGCGTAATCACTTGGGGATATGTACATGTTTCATACACTTAGACTTCGATCAGTTCCCCGATGTAGCTAACTCTACAGCTGCAAGTGAATATATATAAACAGTGGTAATGCACTGCCTCGTTGTCAGTGCCTTAATCGAACACATAAGCATAGGTGTTGTCGATGTGAGGAGCTGTAGTTCCGCTGCATTGTACGGCCCTTCGAGTGAAGCCTTCATGTCATTCTGGGCGACTTTCATAACATGGTCATTTTTGATAGGTGGCTCGATGGAGATCGGCCTCTTCTGGGTTGTTGACACACGATCTCGCTTGATTGTTTCGCTGAGGTGCCGTTTCCCTATAGTAGGAGCCCTGAATCCTGTTCCTGCTCGTCTGCGTTCTCGTTACTGTTAGTGGGTGGAGATAGTTGCGGGACTTGCCACAACAATGGTCGGTCATCATTAAAGACGTTTGAGGACTACATAATCCAATTCAGTAAGTAGCACTCGGAAGAATTTGCCTCATATATTTAATGCAAGAGAGATTTGTACCGACCAACTGACCAGTGAAGAGTTGGTCACCGCTCCACCTTATAAGATGTGCTTGTGATCAATGGCCTTACCTTGTGCTGAGGCTTGTGAAACACATATTGGACTGTCAAGTACTCCACACCTGCAAAGATGCAGTGATTCCGGTAAATGTTGACTAAAACAAAGGTAAAGTGCCACGTAGGGATGGGGGTCGTTTTAAATTTGCGATTACCATAAATGCATTAGCATACCTCTGCTTGTAACAAGTTCATATCCATAGATACTTCATTAGCACGAAATTTGGTCAATGCTTCTATTGCGTAGAATATGTCGTCTATATTTCCAATTGGACGCAGGATGGAGCGGTCATATTCGTCGATTTGAGCTGCCATAGGTTGCACATGTGTGACGAAGAGTTCAATACATTTACACATGAAAATCTGCAAGCGAGAGAGAATGAGCGAGCAGGATGAATGGGGATGTAGTAGACGGTCGATAACGGTTCACTAGCTTCATAACCCAGCCTAGTCCGGAAAAGCACCAGACTCGTTTCACCCTACTAAAGCTCGTCAGTGGTGCGGCTTCTCTCGGTCCCCTAAGGGGGATCGAACCCACAACCGCAATAGGCATATGCCAACTAGCCAGCAGCTTAAGCCACTGAGCCATGGGGGACGTCGGCTGGGCTACATAATTTGCAAGCTAACTGGGATATAGCACGACCTATCTTCCACTGCCACGCAGGTTACTACCTTAGCAGATGACAGTGGCTAGCCACCGAAGGTCATAGCTTCTTCTCACTAGACATTAAGTCCATAGCGTTTGAAAGTAGGAGATGCCACATTGTATATTGCTCATTCTATCTCACTAAGCTTGTAAATTTTGTAGCCCAGCCGATGTGTCCCATGGCTCAGTGACTTAAGCTGCTGACTAGTTGGCATCTGCCTCTAGCGGTCATGGATTCGATCTCCAGTAGGGGACCGAGGCAACGCGTACCACTGACAGGCCCCAATAGGGCGAAAAGCGTTTGCTATTTTTCCGGACTAGGCTGTGCTATGTAGTCTGTGAGCTCCTGGGATAAAAACATTAAAACTACAATAAAAATCCTTCTATTCATGTGTAACGTTTCACTAGTCAGAAACCTGTTTCCACATGTAGGCAGCGTAACGCCCTACGAACATAGTTGGATACCGTTTGTGCTTTGGACGTACAATAACCAAACAACTTCCAGCTGTAACATTCAACGTCTGTCAGTGAAATGCAGACGCTTCTTTTGAAGCACACTGGACTGTTAGTACAGTTGTTCGTGTGAGGTTAATTGCAACAGAAAGCATCAGATATCCATAAACAAGTGGCGAATTCTGGAGACCCTGCTGACTCTCTTCTCTGATAGGTAAATCAAATGTCGGAGACCGAAGACTAGTTTATCCGTAGATCCATGTAACTTGTGGCCCCATCCTCCTGCGAACCCAGTGTACCCCAAATCGTTACTTACATAAATACTCTCCTAATCAAACAGGTGATTTACTTAACACTAATCGCAATGAGGAAACCGAACGTGCTCACTGGTTTGCCATTGGTGTTTGCAAACAGCTTATGCCAGTGTGTCGCCCACAATTGGCACTAGACTTTTGTGCGACCATGACAGCGATGGGGATGGCTTGTTCGCGCAAGCGTGCACATTCTAGAGCCGTCGGTCACACAATAGTCGTTAGCGCCAATCATGTTGACTTTTCATTTTGTCCCATTTCTTTCACACAATGGCGCAATCCAAAGTTCAACCTTGAATTTCTAAACCTAGGTAAACCATTACTTACGGAGCTCAGTGGCCAAATGATCGGGGTGCCACAAGTCGGTCATTTAGGGCGCCACTCTCATCTTCAGGTATCACTACTTGAAAGGCTCACATAGGTACGAATTCCATCAAGAAGTAACCTATTAGGAGGTTGAAACACCGAAACTCTCCAGACCCCAAGCAGTCCATTGATTGCATTGGCCGAGGCTTATCTCAAAGCAACCATTGGCCCCAGCTGAGCTACTTACATAAGTACTAGCACATACCGCCTGATTAGATTGAAGGGTGACAAGTTCCAATGCTTTCGAATAGAGAATGCGGGTCCCTTTAACCAAAACACAGGGTCACATACTTGCTTGTGCTCCAGCAGACATTGTTGTGCTGAACGACGAAATGAGTCAGTCAGCACTTCTAGAGGTCCAACGATATATAGATTGTACAAACGATCCAGTTTTGACTCAACCTCCAAGAATTCCTGAAACTTGCTCTCAAAATCCGAGAGATTTGGAGTTTCATAATCCCGTAGAAAGTTTTCCATATTACGCTCCGGAGTTAAAGTCCATAGTTGGGAGAACAGTTCGAGCGGCTCCGTGATAGTCTTTAACTCTTTTAGTAGTCCTGTAAATTCAAAAAAGAGTGGACTTTGTAAAATGCTCCTATCGATAACAATTGGTTAAAAATTGATTAACGGATGACGATACGAACCTGAACGAACCTGCATTACAATCGCACATCTGTGAACGCTTCGTTTTGCCGCCGTTCTCAGTTGTAGACTGTCACACAAACATGTATTCACACTCATGTATTCACATGTATTCAGACTCATCTGCGCTATCTAGCGCATCTCATCTTTCGGATCTAACTTGTGTGGATCATCCCTTATCTCCACATTGCGGTTTTCGCACCTTTCCAGCAAAAACACAATCGAGGAATTTTCCGAATCACGAATCACACTGAAATATCTCTCTCCACGTTTTATCCAACGAGGCAGCAATCAGAGCTGTGGACCGTTCATCAAAGTAGTTAACGTACACATTTTGTCCGTACCGCTCAGTCGCTCTGTTTGCCGCGTGAACGATCTAGCCGCTTAAGCCCAACCCGCTTGGGCCAGACGCACAGAACGTGACGAGCTTGAACATGCAGAAAATTCAGAACACACACGAACCGCAGGAAATCATAAGCGCCCGGGCCTCTCTGGGAATACCAGCGATCGACGCAATCGATTGTGGCGACCAATCAAAAGCCCATGTTACCCTATCCAGATCCACAGTAGTTTGTGGCCTAACTTCATGCCATAAAAATGTACGGATCGGAATCCAGTGTAGCAGTAGCCATGGTAAGTTCCATCGCAAATCTTCCAAGCTCAAAGTGAATCAGTTGAAACTACACAATAGTAAACCAGATTCACTGTGGTTCTGTTCAGTATGCATAGTCGTCCCGCTGGTAAAGATTGTACATGAACTATCGCAGAAGTACGAAAGACTAGTGGCAATGTTTGAATAAATGAGGAGCACCAAAAGCGATTCATTGGTACAAGGCGTGACAGAGAGTAAATCCCAGTCATTCCCATCAGGCCCCGCAGGAAGAAGGCTAGGCAGCGCGCTAAAAGTACACCATTTGTGGCATTAAAGGCCAATACTACCAGTTGCTCAAATATGCCTGTAACAACCACTGCCGGTCCAATTACAATGAGCACGATCAAGGCCTCGTCCACCCTCCAAACAGTTCCGAAAATTCAGATGGGCTTCGACCCCAGTGGTGGTTGGAACTTGGTTGCTGCCAAACGTGATCGAAAACCTAGATCTTCGGCCACTACCACTGGACCCATAGTAAATGAAGAAGACGAAACTGTACCCAAACAGCCTCCATCGGTTGTATACCGATCAGCTAGCCGTTTGACCTCAACCGGAGTTGCACGTAGTATACCAGCGGTAATCTGCACCAACATTCCAGAATCGACATCAAATTACTTAAGAGGGAAACAACTCGATGTCGTGAACCAGTGAAACTCCATATGTGACACTATAAGTGTAGTAAGTTTGCCCGTAAATTCGCCACGCGTTGCCCGTCACCCAAACTCACAGCACTGCGGTGAACCAAGACTTCTCCGTATTGTGCTGACTTCTGTCAATGAAGCAGAAGCTGTCCTGTTATCGACAGCTCGCCTCCGGGATGGGTCATGTTCCATCCGCCTATTCCCGGATAATCCATGGAGCGAGCGCATACACGCGAAGCACTACTTGGATGAAAACTGGAAGGAACCCGTAGCCAGGACCATAATTGGACACGGTGTTCCCGAGGCTGGAAGTCATGATAAGCGCGAAGCGATCACTCACGACCAGGAACAATGACGATAAATTCGTGAGACACTTGCCCTGGTAAACGTCATAGTGCAATCTATCTCCAGGCTGCGCCGATCACCAGACTTCGAGAGATGTGACCCGACGAATGCGAGAGTGGTTGTACAATCAAGACAGAAGTCAGCAATGGTATGCGGGCCGCAGCAGCCTTGCTTCCGAGCTCCGGATCAAAGCAGCATCTGCTAAACAAACACACGAGAGCAGCCACTTAGTCAGAGTACTTCCCGACAAGAGTTCGGATAACTTCGATCCACTAACCAACGGAACTGGCAAACAAACCCCATACATTCCATACAAAGAGAGCAGAAAGAGATAATGGTACGTTCCATGAATCGGACACAGATGAATTCTTTGTCCCCCTACCCAAAAAAACGATTAGTTGCCGACCGTTCCCCGGTCGCCACAACATTTTATCCAAAACACCCATTCCACGATTCATCGCTAAAAACAGACAAACTTTCCTGCATGGACACCAATGCACAAGTTCTCCTGAACAAGCTTACCGAACTGCAGCTACTTCAAGCGTCACGTGCGTTGGACCTCATACTCACTACAGAAGCATGGTTGCACTCAGAAAGTACCCATGCGTGCCTATTCTGATAATTACAGGCGAAGTTCTGCGGCTGTGAATGGCGTATTCGAATAGGGTGTTGCTCGCCAACGTCAACAGTTGCTCGAAGTAATAATTGAACCGAAAACCCGCGTTACTGACACTCCGTGTTGTTGCAATTCAAGATGGGCCACAGGTTTGCTTAAGATCAACAGCAAGCCTCACTATTACATGTAACTTGTCCTTTATCAAACTCTTCAGGGGAAATAGACATTTAAACTAGTTCCGAACTATTGGGACCTTAGTTATCATTCCAAAGGACTTCATTTATCAGTTATCTATGATATTCGAGTGATGGTTAAAGGTTGGCAGTTTGTGGCAATTTTTCTGCTGTTGGATTGCCAGCCGTGCGTTTGGACGGCTACAGGATACCGCGAGTGAGAGCGTGAATCCTCCTAGTACAAACATACATCAATTCTATCAGCAAAACATAATTCCAACTAGCAATACAAGGTGGTACACATTCTCAGCCTCTTCGTATAGTATAGACCAAGATTTCAAGTGTTGATTTGCTACATTTCAACTGTATGCTTCAGCCTGAAAATTTCCACGGATGGACAGAAGAGAACTTGAATCACAGCACAGGCCACTCTTTGCTCCACCTATTTACGGTCCTATTACAACCTTCTATGCTGAGCCCTAATTACCTAAAGCCTCAAAAGGCGGTGGATCAAGGTTTTCTACATTTAGACAACTAGGAAGGAGAGCAGGAAAGTGTGTGCTAATATAGGACCCAAAGGAATCATCCGACTTCCCAAACCGAATATTCAGGCTTTTAATATTGAGTCTAATTAAGTTGAACACCGCACTCTCTAAGGACTACAGCCACAGGCCGAAAAAACGTGCAATGTCCATTTCGCACGTATGAAATCGACTACATAACAGCAGATGCCATTGTAGTTCTTATCAGAACTCGCGATTATATTAAAACCTAGCAGATCGCGCAGCGAAGTTGATATTACTTCGTTCACTCGATTCCGAAATAGCTCTGGACTAACCAAACCCAGATCAAGTAGCGGACGAGGTACCTGTATCCCATCGAAAAATGAATAATGACTGAGCTCATATCAGTCGGAATTCCCCCACACCTGACCTCTTTAACCCATTGGGGGTGTTAAAGATCGGGCAACTAACCTGCTTTTATACCATTGCTCAAGGCTTTTCAACAAGCTGGCTGAGCTGAGCGGTCATCAAGTTTCCAAGTCATGTGACATCATTGGTATCACTGAGACATGGTGAAACACAGGAATGATGGACGCGGAGGTCGCATTGCCGGGAACCCCGTTCATCCGAAACGACAGACTCACAAAAGAAGTATGGTAATTCGTTAATACCGAAGCGACTCAGTGTTAGACAATGGATGATTTAGACTGACATATTTCTAATTCTCTTTATTGTCGCCTACAGTAAGAGTCAGAGAAACTTGCCCTCTAGCCGAAATGGACTGCAACCGTGTTACCGCTCTAAGATGAAATCTTAAGCAGAATACACATCGTAGTCCTGGGTGCTTTCAAGGTACATTGTTTAAAGCCACCTGCTGCGATCGGAGATCAATACAAAGCGGACCTGCAGGACCTCGTAGTTACTGTTACGCTTTGCAGTCACGTCACTTCGCCCGTCTGTGCTGGATCTTCTGCTTACCGACGAGGAACATATGAATGATGTATTGGTTGTGGACTTCCCGTTGGGTTGCAGTGATCATGCAGTCATTCGTTTCAACTTATTCGGCCATGCGGAATATCGAAATGAGTAGTATGTGACGGTACCAACCATCACAAGCTACGATCGAATAGCCCAGTTCGTTAGCGCTACAACCTCGTTATTTCTCACAGATGAACCCCCAGATGTTACTTGGCTGGAATTCGTCAGTAAATTCAGTTGACTGGTTGCAACTGCTCCAGATACAAGTGTTCGCAATGGGTCTAAGACAGTTTCGTTCGGAAGGAGTGGAAGTAGAATAGGGATGGCAGTACTCAACGCAACCTGGCGGGCGTATAGATTTGCTTCAACGCCAGAAACTTGGGACAACTACACAGCCCAAGGTAACCAACGCACTCAACTGCTCAGAGAAGACAAAGCCATGCATCGGCAGAACATGGAAAATATTTCCAGCGCTAATCACAAACTGCTGCAAAAGCACACCAATGTCCTACGAAAGAGGAGGAGGATGTCTGATGGGCAAACATAAATGGCTACAGAAGCAGTAAATGTGCTGCGGTTTTAAGATGCCTCCACTTTTCTGAGGGTCTTGACAACAGGTAACCTTCTTGCTTTTGTCACCCCACTGTTACCCCACTGCGTTGAAGCAGTATCGCAGAGAGTGGCGTCTCGGCACAACCACAGCTACTTGGATGTCAATCCCATTCACTCAGAAGCACGGGGAGCAGCCGTAAGAAGGAGTAGAATCATTGGCCTTAGTTCTATTTATTGGAATATAATTGACCTGGCATCCAAGGCCAAATCTCGACCGAAGCGCACTGGCTCAGCCCCTTCAGTGTGTTTGAAACAGAACCAAGTTCCTCCATGTAGAAGCTAGGAATAACAACTCCGATTAACAAAGGCAGAAGTAGGGCTGAGCCTTCAAACTACCGTCCAGTATATCTCCTTTCTATACTGACACTCATGGAATCCATCATTGCCAATACGCT